GAGTGTGAAGAGCAACTGGAGCAGACTGGCGATGGACATAACTCACTACAATGGCGAGAATTTTTTAACGCTTATCGATTGCAGTCCCTCCAGGTTTGCGGTATGGCGGGCGCTGCGCAGACAAGACGCAAGCACCGTCATTCGACTGTTGGAGAATGTTTTCCTGGAGCGAGGCCCACCCATGGAAATACTGATGGACAACGATACTGCATTCACCAGTAAAGACTTTAAAGAATTTGCGGACAATTGGGACGTGCATCTGCGGTTTCAATGTGCCTACTCGCCAAGTGGAAATGGCATCATGGAGTGGAACCATCGAGACCATCGCAGCCAGGAAGGGCTGTACAGTATCGGAGGCGGTTTACTGGTATAATGTTGCCCTGAAAGATAATGTTTCACCATCCACGGCGCCGACTGATGCACTGCACAAATATCATGTCCGTGTGAAAGGGATCGAAGCCAACCCGCTGCCTGAACTAGAAGTGACTGGAGGGAGATTGAAAAAAGGAGACATTGTTTGGGTCAAAAGCCCATGTGGCAAGTGTACAACAAAATACAGCACTGGACATGTTACGGAGGTGATCAGCCCGCAATCTGTGAGAGTTGATGGGGTGCCTCGTCACATTAAAGACTTGCGACCGGTGATACAATCACTACCGTTACTGAGCGATGAAAGCGATTCCGAGTCTGAGAGTAGTGAGCATTCAATCTGCCTTGAGTTAGACCTGCAGGGCGGTGATTCTGATAACAGCAGCCTCCCAGCGGACAGTGTTTACCGACACTCAAACTACAGACGAGAACACGCATGAGGATGAAGCTTGTGTTGTCCCCCTTCGGAGGGGGACTCGACAGTGACGATCGCCACCTCCTTGCCCTGTTTGTGATCATGAGATCAGTGGAGAGTGTGGGGAAAATTGTGAAAATGGCTTACCTCAGAAACGCGTGCGAATCTGTGTAGTGTGCAAACTCCGGTCCTCCCAACGGCAAAAGGAACCAAAATGGCGGCGCCCATATTTTATGCCGGGCGATTTCAGTTAGTTAACGCGAAATCTCATTGTCTCGTCATTCGCATGCAAATCGTGGTCGGTCCTCAGCTGTATAAAGCAGGCTCATTTTGCTGTTTCAGATCAGAGAGCTTTCGGCTCGTGAGAAGGTTGGACGTGTGACACCAGTTTTCTTTGTTCCTACCTGCTATCATCAGTTGAGTTGTTGCGTTACCTCCCATACGATAAAGGATTTTACTCATTTGGAAGAAGCAAAGTGTGTGACACTATTTAGCTATGATAATTGGCTAACTAATTAACCATAGAATTTAAAACGGGAAATACTTAAATATTAGAAAGAGCTATACCGAAAGATAGGCCGAGCGACATTAAAAAGAAGAATTTATTTACAAAAGAAAGATACTTTTCACAAAAGACAGAAAATCCATGCGAAAAAGCGAGGCTGTGATTCCGTCAAAATTAATTAATGTCACGATAAGGGGCTGGTGATAAGAGAATTTAAGGCATGAGAAAAATAAAGAATTTAACCACTCAGTTGACTAGCGGAGAAGCCAAATGTCGGGTGTTGACAATGATTAATGAGTCTATAGAGGCCTGGGCTAAGTGGATTTGGGTGTCCCCCAAATTATGATGTGATAAAGAATTATTCGGCAATCTGGGATTTGTAAATGTTTTGGCCAAAGGAAAAAAAAAAGGATTTTGTAAACATGAGGGCCAGTGTAGCCACACCCACACTCCCGAGAGATCATTGGCCAACTGGTAGCATGAGTGATAGGCAGAAGTGAATGTATGAGAAAGACTGAAGTTGTTAACACCCACTGAGGGGATTGGTATGAGATACCAATGTGAGAGAGGAAGAGTCTGGGAGGATAACTCTCCTCTGACCTTCCCTCATGAACAAAGGAGAAACTCCCGAAATGGAAAGTGATTAATCTTCCAAAAATGGGAAGTAATTAAGTAGTAATGACCTAATAACAAAGATAATTCCTGTTGGGAATTGAAAATTGTCAAAGAACCCAAACCACGACAGACCCCCACACCAGAGTTGGTCAGTGTCCATATAAACAAACGTCTCGAGGCAGCTGATCAGTTTCAGTAGAGTTTCAGGGAGTTCGGAGTTCCAGACAGTTCGAGTTTGGAGTTAGTTCGAGAGTGTTGCCTCGCAGAAGCTGACCGAAAGATTTCCACGTCCTTTTCGACTTAGTCTTCCTACCAAAAGCAAGTTTTTATTGACGAACGACTTAAGATACCATAACTCGCATAAGACACGCAAAAAGTGTCACAAATCCATAGAAGCAGGCTGGGAGAGGAACACATTCTTGTCTTCAACAGATAGATAAAGATAATTGTTATTTCTTGACATATTTGAACCTCTTGAATTTGTTATATTATTTTTTTTTACTCACGCCTGTGCGGTATCACCTTTACCCCAGATTCAGCTTGCACTACAGCCCAACACCTGATTGATTTCGTTTACCTAAGATCAAAGTCACAACGTGGGTAGGTTAGACTTGAGATCAAAGCAGTTACTTCAGTAACCAGACATTGGAGGTGAGCTGGGAACGACAAAGTTGGCATCGAACTGGAAACGACCAGATCGACCGGTACACAGGCTGGTGGAAGAAACCTTAATATAGTGTCATATATTGACATCACGACCAGTGGACGTCACATATTGGCGCTGGACTGTGACCGCAACTACCGGTGTGTGTCACAGTGTTTTCCTAACGATTTTGAATTTTAAGAAAAGGAATATTATATTCTAATTTATAGAATAGTCTTTGACCCTGAAACATTTTCCATCTATAAAAGTATGTATTTGCATTGGCCAAAAGCTTCATGTCCAACTTCAGCTCAATGGAACTCCTATACCATTACTACAGTGGTTTATACATGGACATAATGCTAAACTCACAAGATTTATCATGTTAGAAAATTTTCCAAACTACATACAAAACATGGGGGAAGAACAATCATACTCAATTCTAACAATAAAATGGCAAGAGGTTGTCATTCATTTCCTGCAGAACTAATACGTTATACCTTACTATTGTGCTATACATTTCAACAAACCTACAAATTACTTCTGAAGAAATTTCTATTACCATCTTTTTCTTTATTAGAGAAAATTAAAAATTATTAATTAAACATTTTCAATGTGAAATGTGTTCCCTGGTCATGGTAGGTAATGATAGTGATGATGCTACAGAGAAGCAGTACTTTGACTTTCTCGTGGAGTTTTTATGGTTCCATCTAGCCAAATGGAAGAGTTCATTTGTGTTTGTTTTGCTATACTTAACTATGTAGATAAAATTATTGTAAAACATAATGAATCCACTACAAGAAAGTCTGTTGAAAGAATTTTTCCAAAATATATTTTTACTTGTGAACAACATACTGAAGAAGGAATTCACATTGCAACAAAAATTGTTGTGAATATATTTTACAACAAATGAAAGTTTTCCTCAAATGAAGTTAGAAAAAATATTGTAGAATGTTTTTAAATATTGTAGAATGTTTTTAAAAAAAGGCAAAGGTCAAATGAAAATTGATTTATACAAAAATTGTTAGTAGGTTTTTTTTACTTGTATTTGTTTTGTATTACTGCTTAATTCTTTAATAACTTTTTTGTTTGTTTACAATTAGTACTTTTCTGGAAAAAGGAGAAAAAAGAAACAACCTCATTTGTGTATTTTTTGATGGTTTTAACATGTTTTAGATAAAACAGGCATAAACTGACTATAAACTAAATAGGCCTGTTAGAAATTAGCCTGAAATGTGACATGTGCGGCCATATATATTAGAGGGCCGTGGTTCCAGTCTACAAAAAATTTAATTGACAAAAACTTGTCTTTGTACAATCAATCAAAAACTACTTTACAACTGTCTTCCAACAAAAAACAAAGTTTCTATGAAAATGACATCAACAAGCTTGTAGAATAATGGAAAATAGTTGTTAAAGACTATATACTTATAAATTTTTTGTGAGTATGCAAAATTTTTTTTTTTTTTTTCTAATTGGGCACAAAATTTTGCAATGATCTAATATTTAAAAATAATTTTAACTACATTTTGTTCACCTGGTGCTTCAAGAGACCAGTTTGCTAAAGATGAGAAACAAAAAAGCTCACACTGTTCATTATTATATATGATCGCTAACATGAGGATTGATATTTTGTAATTTGATTTTATTAGTTACTTTTTACACTTCAATTAAATTCTTATAATAAGCAGATGTCAACTGTTTTCATTTTGTTAAATAGCCAAATTATGTATATGTAGGGGAGTAATAACTCTGACTAAATAATTGTAAACCACCTAATGTTTAGATATACAAAACTACTTGTAAAAATGAGAAACAGCAAGATGTGGAAACAACAAAGCGAGTATTATTTATTATCTGGTTATTATATGGTGTTGGATACGCAAGAGACATACTGAGTAAAACTGAATTTGGGATCAAATGTAGATCAAATATGGATTGGAATTTGACAGAATGATAAGATAAAGAATAAGCAAAGTGTATACAGTCTTTCTTGTATATTTTTTATAGATATCGGTAATGAGTATCCAGATAATTTAGTTGGAAAATTACGAGAAGTGTCTGGGGTTTTCTTACCTCGAATTTTTGAGTGCTAAAAGATAAATGTTACTATTATGGCCTGAAAAAGAAAAAGGAGACAAAATTTTCATTGATGCACATGTTGACGACCTGTCCATGTGAACTGCTTGTCTGATAATGAGAATGTCACATGTTTGTATGTGTTGAAGAGAAAAGTGGGGTTGATTTTCATTGGTTTAGAACGAGTGAATTAATGATAATTATAACTGTTATAATTATTTTAGATGCCATAATTAATTTTTACTTATTTTTTTATGGACTTGACACCGTGAGAGTGTAATTCATTTTTTATTTATGTATTTCTTTATGGACACTGCATATGGAACTAAATAGTGCATGCTATACTAAACATGATGACTTTCTTTTTCTCTCAGAGAAAAGTGATTTACATCAAAAATACTACTAAAATTTTAAAGGAGAAATATGGGTGTGACATTCCAGACTCACTTGAAAATCTGCTGAAGCTGCCTGGCATTGGTCCCAAAATGGCCCACCTGATTATGAAATGTGCATGGAATCAACTGACTGGTATTGGAGTGGACACTCATGTCCATCGCATTTCCAATCGGCTTGGATGGGTCCCCAAGCCCACAAAGGAACCTGAACAAACCCGAAAAGCATTAGAAGATTGGTTGCCCAGGTAATTAAACTTGATTCTTTAATCTTTTTTTTTTTTTTTTTTTTTTCAAAAATGTATTGCTGGTATTTTTACTATAAAAATGTTTACACTTTCATAGTGTTTTGACCCCAGTTCAGGGTTAACTATTTGCCCATAGCTAGAACCATAGCAGGTGCTAACATCCTGGGTCAGGGTGGACCTGGTAATTAGCAGCAATTAAGAAGTGGTTCCACACTCCTCAAAACCTCCCAATCAGAGGCCTTGATGTGGGATATAGTTTATCATCACCAGGACAGACTAATTGATTGACATCTCTGTCTACATTCTGTATAGTAACTGTGCACACTAACTTCTTTTTTTTTTTTTTTTTTTTTTTTATTATTAAATTTCACCCAATACAAGGTCTAAGACCCTCACAAGGTAAAAGCTTACTGAATGAGGTGTATGATAAAAAAAATATGAGGATATGAAGGAAAAGGTAACAATTGACTCTAAACTTGAAGAGATTAAGATTGTAGTGATCAGGAAAACATTCAAATGGGAGTCTGTTCCACAAAGGAGTGGTTCTTTAAGTTTCCAGATAGGGACTTGAGGTTAGGTTTTACCTCTTGAAAATAGAGTTCAACTTTTGAAAAGTTGGTGTAGGAGATGGACAACTTTTGTTTTGAAAGAATTTGGTTTGATTCTACTGTTTGTTTTATCTATAGACATAGTTTAGTATGGAATGGTGAAGAATTGAGGTAGCAAAATGGCAACACCTTCAAGTAGTATGTGTAAAAATTATCTGGATTAATTGTCAGAAAGTACAGCTATAACTGTACATTTCATCATGGCATTGAGAGGTTCCACTGGAAACTACTGCACAGTTCAGAACCTATTCAAAAAATAAATATATATATATATATATATATATATATATATATATATATATATATATATATATATATATATCTGTTGATGAGATAGCCTCCTTAGGAATTGCTCTAAGGTTCAGATCCTTGACTATCAGATGGATAATGCCAGCTCAGTAAAACATTTACCCCCAGCACCCTTAACAAAGAGACAGACAATCTAGATTGAGTAGTTGAAGTATTTACACTATTTACATAGTTTGGACTGTTGTCCTCATTTTTATTGTCATACTCATGATGTTTCAGCTGTTGTACACACCAGCCTTTTTCAGGTTATATACATTGGAATTTCAAACCAAACCCTTTATTTCATCCACCAAGGTAGATTATTCTAGTTCCACGTGCCATACCTCTTCTGGATATTTCAGATTCAGTTATTTCCCTTTAGTAACTCAACTCTCCAAGTTATTGTTTACCTCTGCTGTGGCCAGATATTGAACTCACAGCTCTTTTGGTCAAGTCACTGGATTATTTCAACCAACACATTTATTCACTGGGCCATGTGTCCTTGGGAGTTGTGAGTTCAATACCTGGCCACAGCAGAGGTAAACAATAACTTGGAGAGTTGAGTTACAAAAGGGAAATAACTGAAACTGAGATATCCTGAAGAGGCATGGCATATGGAACTAGAACAATCTACCCCTGCTATAGAATGGAGTTAAATACAAGTTTAGTAAATAGCTACATAATGGTGCATATCTTATTTTTTAATGAAAAAACATGCACATATATACAAAGGGAGGTCCAGCAGTTTTGAAATCAACATTTTTAATGACAAGAAAACACAAAAAGAATACTTTTATTCTATGTTTCAAAAAAGTTGTTTCAACAAGTTATCCCAACAATGGCTCATCTTCAAGGCATTTCTTCCTCCAACAACATTCAGCATCATTTTACTATTACATATTGGGTTGGTTTGGTTTGGTTTGGTTTATTTTGCTTAGTGGCATAATAATACCAAAATCTAAATATTTTGAACACAATTTTATGGCTTCAACTAAATATAAAGAGATGGATAAATTGTCATCTATATTTCGCAAAAATGAAAACAACATTGACATCTCATTTTAACAGATATATTTACTAAAATTACACAAAAATATCTTGAAATACTAAAGAGTAAATTTATTCAATAAAATCTCCATTGGCTTCAACGACAGCCTCCAGACGACTTTGGAATCTCTTGCAACTCTTCTTGACGATCTTGTTTAAATTGGTGAATACTGCCATAATTCTTCCCTTCAGTTCATCAACTGCACCCCACACATAATAATCAAGGGGTTGCAGTCTGGGGAGTTAGGTAATCAGATGTTAGGGGTGTTGTGGTCACAGAAATTGTCTGACAGCTATGACTGGGTTCTCCTGCTTGTGTGGCATGGTGCAGAGTCATGTTGCCAAACAGTGTCTTCCAGTAGCCACCCTCTTGACTCAGGGCAGCACTGCCTCTTCAAGGCACTTGATGTAGGATTCCACGTTGGGTATGAGGCCCTCACCAAAAAATTCAAGAGTTCATTTCTTATCAGAGTGAGTTTTCCGAGCTGCCGTACCTTTGTAATCACCATTAGATTTAGTGAATTGAGTCATGGTGCTCTTTTTCTCACAGACGGTGCCCAACTGACCCTACAATACCGTGCAGTTAATCAAAAAAAAAAAACGCACATGCACAAAATTTAAAAAAATATATAATGGCGACAATTTAGCCATCGCACCATGCATTTTGAACACAATTGCATGCTTTTAACTACAGATAAAATGTATTGTTGGTCACTTTACTATAAATAGGTATATTTGGTCATTTTGTTTTAAATAGTTCCAAGCTCATAAAAATGTAATTGAAAGCCAGTATTATGAAACTTATTCTTATTTTTTAGTGTTTTATTTTTATCCTTTTCTCTTTTCAGAGAAATATGGAGTGAAGTGAATCACTTGCTAGTTGGATTTGGTCAGCAGATATGTCGCCCAGTAAATCCCCTCTGCCAGAGTTGTCTTAATAAGGACATCTGCCCAACTGGACTTAAGAACAACAAAGCCTCAAAAAATGTCAAATCACCCAAAAAATTAATCAAACAAGAAACTTGATTTGATTCCTTTGAAGAAATTTTATTTTCCTCATTCAGTATTATAAGCTCAATAGGGCAATCATTAAAATCCTGGAAATTGCTTAGGACTGGAACCTTTTTTGATAAGACAGATGCTGTAATAAATAAAACCATCTTTCTATCAAGTATAATAATAATTAGTACCAATTATTGAAATTTTAAGGTTTACTATATAGGATGAGGCAAAGGTCGTGCACTATAGGAATAATTTATTAGAAGTATTTTAATGTTTAATTACATTAAAAATTTATTTACTAGTTATATGTGCCGTTAAAAATGTCCTCATCCTTTTTCAAAACACAATTTCAATTCTATTCTTGCCTGATTCATTAACATATCAGAGAGTTTCCTCTGTCATTTTACTGCATTCATATTTAATTGTTTAAGTTCCTCAATATTTCTTGGGTGCATCTGATAAACAATTGATTTCAAATGGCCCCACAAAAAAAAATCCAAGTGTGTGAGGTCTGGTGACCTCAGTGGGAACTCAACATGACCTCTTCAATCTATCCATTAACCCTTATGGTGCACAACTTTTGCCTCACTCTGTATATTAGGTATGTGCAAAAGCTTCTAGCAAAGAAACAATTTTCAACTATTCAGTCTCTAGTTTCCCAAAAAGAATGCTGGGAACTAATACACTCTCCCACCTGACAAAAGTTCACAATTTACATTTACCACTTTGTTATCCATTTATTCAATAAATCAAGAAAAATGCCAATTTATTTTATGCTATTAAAGTTTTTTTACAGCATTGTTTCCTTTAATTGTTTTTATTATTTTACAAAAAGCTTTTGTAATTGGAAATATCAGGTGTAATTTTTTTTTAAATTGGTATCACCCTGTGCAAGGCAGTAAAGCCACTAAGACACAAGGGGTTACTGGGTGTGGAAGAATTTGGAACAGAAACATTAATAATGAGCAGGAAAAGGAAAGAGTAATCAGGAGGACAGTAAATAGTGATTGACATTGCATTTAAACTTTTGCAACTTAAAGATGGCTGGAAAACATGGAGCCGGAAGGGAGTACGACAAGAGAAAAGAAACTGTTAGCATTGAACTTACGGCTACATCTAGCCAGCTCAGCTGTAAATTAATGAGATCTTAATGTCAGTCTAGTACTGCACTTAAATTCTAAAAGTCTAGGTAAATAGCAAAGAGCTCAATATTGCCATTATGCTGAATGCTTTTTTGGTTGAGAGCTAGGATAATTTCAGTTCATTTGGTATTAATGATTCTTAACTCTGCAAAGTATTTTTTGCTCATACTGCAGAATTTATTAACTGTCAAACAATGTAGCCAATAATTCAAATATCTGCCTACATGATTCTGAATTTGCATAAAGTTATGGTGGGTGGTGGAGGTTATCTTATGACAACATTCTTTCCACACCATAGATCTGTATAGCCTTGTGTAAGGATTGAAAGAAAATGTACAGAGTTGATATAAACAAAATAAATTTTTATATAACACACACACATACACACATATATATAAGAGGATAGAGAGATAAGTTAGAAGTTCAAATGTCAATGTCCTGGTGCATGCAAGAGAGTCTAGGTGAATCTGTATGTATGTATGTATTCAGATTTAGTAATCATTTACTTAAATGGATGAAGGAATTATGCATGCTTTTGTGTTAATGCCGGACTGTATGGATGTTCTTAGTCACCATCCTAAATGGTACAAGGAGATAGGTATTGTATGTGTCTATGCAAGGTTGTGTAGGCCACACATAAATGTCATATTTTGGCTCTAGGTATGTTACAATGACCACAGCATTGGAGAATTGATAAAATTAATTCATTAATTCTGATTTAGTTCAACTGTTCATTTCATATACATATCTAGTAAAACAGAAATCCACTTTGAAACTGCTGCTTGGCTTCTGATTGGTTTACAATCAATGACCTAATATCCTGATTTACTTACTAGACTACAATGTTTGTTTCCTGGTTGGAAATGTTTCTGATTGCTTGGTCAAAATATGACTTCATGGCTTAGCAATTCAGAATATGCATCTATTTTTAGAAATGGTGAAATTTTGGTCTCCATATTTATATTTTTTATTTTTCTATCACTACAAAGTTTTGTATATATTTAATAATTGAGGAATGATCTTAATTGAAAATCACATTTGTTAATCTAAAGAATGTTTTTGACTCCTACACTTACTAGGTCTCACTTCTAAAAGACCATTGAGTAAATTTATCCTTACTAAGTATATCAATAATGACATCACACCAAGTTTAACTTCCTATCAGAGAACAGAACCATAAAGATTGAAATTCTCTTTTATGGTTTTGTAAATCAAAATAACTGGTTTTATTCAAAATCCCTTGAATTTCATCAGATGGATGATGATGCTGATGCTTTCAAGCAAACTCAAACACCATTATGTAATTTGTTTCCTTCTTTGTCTCCCATGATCTTCATTAGTTTGTCACTCCTCAACGCAATACCATAGATTGTGGTCAGTAGCACTGTTTTTTTTTTCTTGTTTTTTTTATCCCAGCCTAACTTCCCACTTAATGGACATGCTCCTTCTTAACTTACACAACAAGCAATATGATATGAAGAATTGGATTTACTAGTAGTCATAATTTCTACTATCATCCACAAAGTATTGTTGTTCCATGCCATTGAAGTTGATGGTGTTTATCATTTGCCATTGATGACTACATATCAAGCCAATGTATTTTTTTTTCATTGAAGTTACTAAGGTTTTTTTTTTTTTAATCATAAAATTACTGTATTGATAGCTAAAACAATTATGTAATTCTAAATATAGGAAAACAACATTGTCTATAATTTTGAAAAAGTCATTAACCCTCTATCTATAACGAAACCCCCTTCACTTGACTTTGTCCTTGACCAGTTGATCTTTCCCCACCTACATTGTGTTTGTTTTTAATCTAAGCGGGTTGAAACACTCAAAAGCAAAAGGAGCAAGTGAAAAGAAAGAAGCAACTTTCAGAACAGACAACCAACTCTTGCTTGTAGAAACAATAGCATTGAGTTTATTTGTTGAGGATTTTCTCTTTTAATGTAGAAACATTTAAAATTTGTAACTCCTAAACACAAATCATCTCAAAAGACAGTTGGAATGTCACCTTTTACCATGCATATATATATATATATATATATATATATATATATAAATTTCAATCACATGTGAAACAGAAATCATGTTCAAATGTCACCAGATAAAAAATACTGGATATTTGTTTCAGTCCAGTATAGGAATTCAAATTCATGACATTGTATTTTATAAATTTACAACATACCACTTTGAAAACAATGCATTTGATATAAATCATTTCTTTTGGAATGTGAGATCCTTGTCCTGTAGAAACTCTCAGTTGTTGGGTATTGTGGCATGTGGGGGGTTCTTTATTTTGTTCAATTCAGCAATAGCAGCAACAGAAGTAATCAACAGGGTACAACTGGAAGTCCCAGAGGTCATAAAAGCCTTGACTGAGCCCTATTTGGTCTTTTTCCCACTTTCAGCAGCCTCTACTATCAATGGTCATATTTCCAACAACATAAAGAGGAAAAGCCCTTAGGCTCATATCAGACAATTCTATGTCACGGATTATGTATTAGAATATTTTGTCAAGGGTTGGAGTAGTTAGGCATAATTAAATACAAAATGTCTATAAAACTGGCAGTCCTTAAAAATCACATCTTTTTCATAATGTCAGGGATAAGGACGTCACATATGACTTTTATTCTGGAAGTGAGGAAATATCAGAAACATTAATACGATTTTCAAAGACATCTACAAAGTTGGTAAAAAGATAGAAAATAAATAAATGATTCTTTGGTCTTAATTGATATATTTAATCATATTTCCACTCATTATTAAAAACATATTCCTATCTATCTGACAAATTTTTGGACACTTGGGTGTAAAATTCTTCAGGCTTTGATACCACAAAACATTCAATATCAGCTTTAACTTCTTCACAATTAAACTGTTTTCCCTCTAAAAATATTGCAGTCATATGAAGAGATGATAGTCAGAAGGAGCAAAGTAAGGAGGATTAATCAAACCCTCCATATTTAGTGTCAGGCCAAAAGGAATGCAGGGAAAAATCAAAGTCAAAAGGAAGTAAGTATGGACAGCAGGTTCTACTGGTGTTTGGTGATATGACGGGAAAATAAATATAGAGTAAGAGATATTTACCAACTTTTGTAATGAAAATCAAAGCTCTGTAGTCCCCAAGTGCATGACATTCCACATTTTTGTGGGGAGCATCTGTAATGGAAAATTCTACTAGCTGCTAGAGAAAAGGAAAATATCTTTTATTTTACATGTCAATTCCTTTCAGGATGTACATGATCATGGATTCTTTTTCTTTATTATCTGTGAACTGCCACGATAAAAAAGATAGTGGAATGGTTTTGAATTCAGAATGGTCCTTCTAAGCTGCCTACTACCCAAGACTAGAGAACCCAGTCTCCACTGATAATTCTACCACTTCGTCCTCAACCTCCAGCATCTTCCTCTTTGGGTTGAGGTGTCCACTTGGTCTGAACCGAACTTAGGGGTAACTGGCCGTACGCTCCCTGAGTACTCATAGATTATTTTGACCGGTCAACTGGTCAAGTCCTGCCCACGCTGTGTTAGTTTTTAGATCCAGTAAGCGGGGTGTTGTCCATACGTTCACGGTCGACTGGGGATATGGACACAGCTGTGAGAATTGGCACTAGGAAGTTTAGAATGTGGCAAAATAAAACAAGAAATAATATCTGCAGAAGCCAGACAACAATGGGGGAAATACTGACGTCTTTTATATAAGAAGACTAGCAGTAGAGCCTGGCAATGCCCAAGGATGTAACAGTAAGGGATAGATCAAGTATCCACCATCATAAAGACTGAAAAATAAAATTGACAAAGATTATTGTTTAAGGTTGACGGACATGCATGTCTTGTTTTTTTTTTGTTTTTTTTTACGAATTGGTCAAACCCAAACAAAAACATTGTTTTCAATCGTTATGAGTCTCTACCGATTGAATAGAATTTTATTATAAACAATTGCCTTGTAAACAGAATTTTTAAAGCATTCTGAATGTAAAAATAAAGAAAAAAGTGTGCAAGACAATAAGAAACACTACATGCCAAAAAAAAAAGTGAAGTTTTGTTGAAATCAGTTGAAAAATGTAGGTAGCCTTTCTGTAATCTTTTAGTTTTTACAATTTTTAAATTTTTACTTATTGAATACAGTAAAGAAAATGCATATTTTGCTTGTGGTGATTCATAATTAGAATTCTGATTTGAATATATTTTCCACTCGTTGTTTCTAATACAAAAAATATTAACTTTATTTGGGTTTATTAATTATGATCTAACAAATCTTATTCATTTAGTAGCCTTTCTGTAATAATAATCTTTTACAATTTATGATTTTTACTTATTGAATACAGTAAAAAAAATTGGACACCATGTGTATTTAAAGTAGTTTCCAGTTATTATTTTTAGTTAGGAGGACTTGTGTATGTTTAGATTTCATTATCTTTCCCTAAAGATAAAGAATTATCCAATGTTTGGATTCGTACAATCAGTAAAGATCGTTAGATTATTGTTTAAGGTTGACGGACATGCATGTCTTAATTAGTTTTTTTTTTTTTACGAATTGGTCAAACCCAAACTCAAACAAAAACATTGTTTTCAATCATTATGAGTCTCCCGATTGAATAGAATTTTATTATAAACAATTGTCTTGTAAATGGAATTTTTAAAGTATTCTGAATATTAAAAATAAAGAAAAAAAGTGTGCAAGACAATAAGAAACACTACCTGCCAAAAAAAAAAAAGTGAATTTGTGTTTTATCGGCTGAAAAATGTAGGAAATCCGATCCCATATATAAAGGAAGACACACACACAAACAGCCTGGGTTTTTAACCCGATGTGAGTTGTCCCCCTTTCATTCTCACGATGTCTCTTAATCATGTTTTCAAATTGATTTTGTGCAAAAACGATTGTATTTTTCCCATTTTTGGCGCTGTTAGAACCACCACAAGGTAATTTTATGTAGTCCTGTGAAGTTTTGTTGAAATCGGTTGAAAAATGTAGGAAATCCGATCCAAAACGTTACAGACACACACACACACACACACACAATCTGCATTTTATAATAAGTAAGATAACATCAGAACAGAGGTTACAGGGAGAATAAAAACATTTAACATAAATGAGAAAAGAAAAAGACAAAATGCATCCAGCAAATTCCCAACAGAGAGAGGGTTTGTGTATGATAAACGCATATTGAATCGCCTGGGGTAGTTTATGACTAATAGTCCAGTCTCATACAGATTCTCAGAACAGGGGTTAGTCTTCTCTCTCTCCTCCAAAATTCACCCAAAAATCTCTTAACTCACTGCGACAATAGTCTTGTCTCTCAACTACTGTCTCTTTCCCCGACTCTTTTCTTTCTTAGCAAAAACTCAAGTTAATATAGAAAAAGGATCAGCTGATCACAATTGACCCTCGGCCCAGCCTGCAGCTACCACAAGTGCCAAAAACTATCTCTTGACATGTAAACCTATTCTCCAATTATTGACCCTATCTCAATCACGAGTTCTCACTTCACCAAAATTATACTTTGGGATATCTAAACATTGATTCAACCTTTTAATCAAAACAAATACTGTTAAACAAAACCAAGTATCTCACCCATCCCCATTGTTTACTAGTGACCCATGTTTAAAACATTGCCTCCTGCCCTGAGATCATATTCCTCATCGGTAAACACACAACTTAACCCAAATTGTACTTTGATTTATAAACACCGTTTCCATTTCCAGCTAATAAAAGTTACATTTGTGTGTGTGTGTGTGTGTGTATATATATACCTCTCTCTGTTACAAATTAGCCTATAGTTGGTGAAAATGAATGCAACTGACTTGGCTGGAACTTGAATTCGACATGCTGATTTATGCACCACTAAGCTGATAGTTACATTAATAATCTAAACTCTTTGATTATCATTTTTAATTTGTCAATATACATCTGATGAAAGCCATAGAGCACAACAGCCGAGATGTGATAACAACAACAAAGATGAGGACAATAATTCAAATGTAAATAATTAATAATTCTTTGAATTTTTTTTTAAATGACATTTCCCCTCAGGCAATTATCACTCTCTACAGATTCCTTTTATTTGTGAATTTCTATGAATTCTTCAGCAAGGTAATGGCTTCCTCCTACATTCTCCAGTTTTGTATCCAGAGCAAACCTTTGCCTAGACTGGCTGACATCCAAGACTAAAGAACTCAGGCTATCTTGCTATTTAATTCACAATTGAGAAAAAATGAATCCATGTCATTGTCAAAAGCAATAGTGGAAAATGAACCCAACAGACTAAGCCAGAACTTTATTGCATTTTCCATGTCAATAACCATTTATGATGTGGCAACGTTTGCCCAGCTGGTCCATTCAATATTCGACTCCCACAGCTGACCATTGAATAGATCACTTCGATCCAAGCTTTGCCTTGTCCTACATTGTTTGATTTAGATCACAAGGCTGGCGAGGATCAATTGTCAACAGGAATCATAGAATTAATAGGATAAATTGTAATAAAAAAAATGTTTTATATAACGTTTCTTGTACAGAGCTGGTAGTACAATATTAGTTCTTCAGGTAGGAATGTTTTACATGCAGGAATATATTTCATGTCATGCAAAGTTATTCAACCCTTTCCTCTTCGAATATTTTGTGACACTTTGTTCATTGTAAGTCTAGACAAGGGTTCTGGAACACAGCTCAAGGTCAGAGTTCTTCTTCAGCAGCAGGAGAGTCACATGAGTTCAGTGAATGGTCATCCTCACCTGGTATCTCGTGACTTCTCTTTTTCTGTTTATATGGACTTGCGTTTAAAAATTGGCATGGGGTCTGATGTGCGTTGGGATTTTGGTCATTCCCTTAATCTCTGCAGAGAGTTCTTTGTTTGTTTGTTTGGGAAATTAATTGCATGTCCAATTTTGGAAAGATCCCTCCTCCAAGGAGTAGTGGTAGCAAAATATCAATCCACCCTGCAACTCCTTCCTTCTCGTATTGGTGCCTCATACCAATACTGCCCAAGGGGTGTAGGCAATTCTTCCACCTCCCTTGAAATTCCACTTAGGCCCTTCACTTCTATGGTCACCTGACCAATCCAATCTCTAGACTGCAGGCATGGCTTAGCTCCACTTATTAATTTAATTAACAGGCAAAATTTTCATCAATAGAATTCCTCAAGCCCTTCGGCTTTCTCAATCAGGCATTCATCAGCTGTTCTCCTGACATCCTCTTATTGTGGCACTTTGGCCCCTGTCCAAAGAAATCTCATCTCTTCAGTGATTCACACTTTCCCTTCCCTTTTTGAAAAGTGATAAAAAAAAAAACAATTCTTCAACTCTGCCTTTGTTTCCAGAATACCCTAAATATTATCTCATGGCCAATTTTTTTTTTCCACTAGGTTATGGCCTGCAGACAATTCCTTAGCCTGGATTTTAAAAACAATAATGTCTCCATTTCATAGTCAGTGTTCAACTTCAGCCATATGGTTTTTTGTAGGACAAATCAAATGTTTCTGTCCTTCCCCTCTGCCTCTATCCAAGGAAGGAAAAAAAAAAAACAAACCCCCTGAATTTAATAAATCTTGCCTCATTTTTTGGTATAGCTATCCCCTCAACCCTTAAGGTGTCACACATTAAGCTAACACTACATCCCAATTCTTAGAATACCAATGTAATAAATTGCTTCATGTTTGTTCTACTTCACTGGCTAGTGATCATCTTAGTGCTATACTGCCAAAATTGCAGCTTAAATATTTGGGGTTTTCTTTCTTTAAATTTTGGTTAGATGGAGAATAAGTGGCTGAACAAGGGATGTGGTTTCTTCTTCATTCAAATTAGAGGTCCTCTGTACAAGTAACAGGACCCAAAGGAAATACTGACACCAACTGCCTGGTTGACTGTAGGCAGTCATTTGCCGAAATGGCACATTCACCCTGACTGTGGCTGAATGTCTTGTATGCAGTCATTGTCAGAAACACTTTACATGACCTGATCAGACCTTGCTTTTATTGGACTATATTTAACTATGATGAACTTTTGAAATCAGACCACACAATGAAATATATTACAATATTTTTAAAAAGTTATATTTTGCATACATTATCAAAATTACTTTATACAATTAGATATTTACACTTTATATAAAATATGCCTCTTTATAGTTATACATAAAATACATATTAGGACAGTGTATCATTTTATTTGATAAACATATCACTTAAGTCCAAATCTGTGAAAGAATCTTCTGTCTTTGCTTTGGTTGTTGTTGAGGACAAATCTGGGTCTTTTCTTTTCTTATTTTGTAGTTTTTTCTTTTTACTTAATTCTGGAAGATTTTCAGAGGGAAAGGCTTCAAGACTTGCTTTTAGGTTATGAGTAAGCCTGTGGAAATAAATGGCAAAATATTAATTATTTTTCCAAACTGCTTTACATTGATTCAAATAAAATACAAACAAATGTCTATGTCTCAATTAAGTCAACCAGATTTTATGAAGAGAGTATTTCTGGTATGATTTTGGGTCTCATCATAAAAAATAGAGAAATAATTTCTTTTTGACTAATTTCTGTTGATTTACATTAATTCATTGATTCCTCTATTCATGACATTTGTTAGAATTGAAACATTTTTGGAAAAAAGGACAACATCAGTGTGTATGCAGTTTTATCAATGACATGAGCACTGATTCAAACTTGACATTTGTAAATAAAAACAAAATAAAGATAACTCTTCAAAAAGTCAGGGATCAATTTATTTATATTATGAACAGGATCTCACTTATAAAAAGATAAAAAAAGTATCACCTACCTACTCCTCAACCATGCTGTGCAAGTGGATCCCTGAAGAAACAACTAAACATATGTAAAACACAATTTATGTGTTTCATTTTTCACTATGGCATTATTTCATTTCCTGTTCCCTTGTGAATGTACAATGGGTCTTTCTCAGTTTTTTCTGCACACCAGTGTGAATGAGAATTGGGATACACACAAGGTTGTTTTGTCTGTGAAAGGCTAAGAGATTAACCTTTTGTACATTTACTTATTGCTCTTTGGTAAATGGTCATAAATACTTAACTATCTAATCAATCTGCTTTAACCATAATCAAATGTGACCTTTCAGAAATTTTTAACAACTTCAATTACTTATCTCTTAAAAACTTTAGATATATTTTGAAAGAAAAAATGTTTAAAAAAACATCTTGTAAAGAGTGACTTGCAAGAAATCTAGAATTCTAAATTTAAGTTCCCAAAAATTAAATTTGGGGGTCTGGAATTTTATTTAAGAGAATAGTTTTACTTTTGTTCTAAAGTTGTTGTTCAGTCAATTGGCAGTAAATGACATTCATGTTCACCAACAGTAAATTTTATATGTAATGTTATGTTTGTAACATCTGGTAAGAATATGAGACTAAATTTTAATATGCAAAATAATAGTTTATTTACTTCAGGACCCAGACTCAAATTAATATGAGCTAAATTGAGTGGTAGGTAGTTTGGGGTCTTTCTTTGAACGTTCAATCTGCTTGTGAGGATATGAAGGATTCCGTATTTCTCCCTTGTGGGCCAGGCATTTATGCAACTTTCTGCTATCCAGTTGTCTTGTGTGTGTATATCTTAAGTTCATTTGAGTTTGGCTGTGGAGTTACATTCTAGGTCAACTTGAGACACCTAGGATTTTAATGTTTCAAGGTGACACTGAGTACAAAGCTTACTTTGGTATCTCTTAAGGTCAACTTAGTACATATTGGCATCACCACATATCAACTCTTCTTAGATCAAACATTTCTGATGGACATTAAATTCAAATTCAGCCTCTGGTATTTTGTGGCACTCATCACATATTCCATATGCCAGACTGTGAAAGAATGAATTCTGTGATACAGAACTCACACTCTTATTCATTTATTAATGCCACAATCGAAATTCTGTATTTTTAACTGGATATAATTAGGCAGTTACACCTGTTATTCTGTGACGAGTATATAGGGTGTTTCTAAAGTCACAAAGGCAAAAATGCATTTTAAAAAAGATTTTATTGAATTGGAATATTAACAAATATTCTCTTCAATATGATTTCCATCGTTTGTGATACAAAGGTTGATGCCCGTTTCAAGATTTAAGTGAACTCAATGCAATAACTCCACATTGCAGTAAATTTTAGCACGTTCACTCTTTATGCGTTCAATCAAGTGTGTTGCATCTGTGATTTTCATTGAGTACACCTCCTTTAACATAACCCAGAAAAAGAAGTCAATTATTTCTTCTTTTGACAAAACCATATTTAATCTGTAGAGATAAAAAATATAGTTAAGGAGATTTCCTCTCTGTCCAGACTTTAGTGACACCCTGTATATTCACTGGAGTGTACCAAAGGCTTCACTACATAAAGAATCAAGACTAAGTTATAATGCAAAAGCCAATTTATTCACATTAATGACTGAACTTCACTGTCAATACCTGCAGACCCTGAGATGAACTCTCATCAACCTGGCTTCATTCACTGACAAATATATAGTGATAAAAAATATATTTTCAGTACTATCTTTTTCTTTTATACAATACTGACATCCACTCTACTACAAATTGCTGGCTCAAACAAATAACAGGGAGAACAAAAAGATTTTGTTTATCTTAATTAGCTTACCTGTCAATTCGATTTTCATTCTCCTCCATTTTTTTGTTTGCAATTTTAATGATGTGGTTAATGTACTGGAAGAAAAATGAGAAATTGCATATTTTCAAATGTAAATACCCAAAGAAGTTAAACGACACAGTTTCAATCCACCTAATATAGAAAAGAATTGAGCATCTATAGGATATGAGGAAATATAGACTTATATATATATATATATATATTTTCACTTTAAACATTATTTTTAGTGAATACTCATATTTGAGTAGGTGCTACATTTATATATTAAACAGAATATTTATTTATTTTCACCTACCAAATTTTTCAGAAGTTTCACTTAAAAATCATGAAATTAGCTTTGCTTAACCATCTGTTTCTTTGTGACCAAGCGGTAAGGCACACCAGACTAAATGGTGTTCTCTCCTCCCTGATGGACATGCATGTTTGGTTCCTACTGAATAGCGCAAATTTTTCTTCAATAAAATTTCTCAATCATTCAGGATGGTAGGTGAAAAATAAATAAATATACTGTTTAATATATAAACGGAGCACTTACTCAAATATGAGTATCCACTAATAATAACATTTAAAGTGAAAACATTTGTCAGATTTTATAAAACCCATTCTAAAATTCCTTTTATATATATATATATATATATATATATATAGATAGATAGATAGATAGATAGATAGATAGATAGATATACATTATACTCACCATGTAAGACAATGTTACATTTCAACAGGTAATACTCAATTTAAACTGATAGTGGGATAGTGATATGTCAAGATTATATATCTACTTATGAGTGAATCTCTCCATTACAAAAAGAACATTGAGTATTCCTTTTTACCATTTGTTTAATTAAAAGTGTTTTATATATATATGTTAGCTCTATCACTGATATTGAGCTCTTTCCAATAAGTACTGAACATATATAATATATAAATAATATATATAATAAATTGTATATATATATATATATATATATATATATATATATATAAAACCCAAAAAATTTTTTCGTTTCATTTTTTGGAAGTGCTATCTGATGATCCAGTGTCCTTTAAAAGGGCTCTGGTGAAATAAATTATTATAATGGATCCTTAAAGTGGTCTGTTTTTCTTTAATATATATATATATATATATATATATATATATTCAGACACAGTTGCTGTTGTGTGTTATAAAATTCAAAATATTTGAACATGGATGGTTCTGAATTAGTCTGCTTGTGTATTTACACTTTCTGTTGCTGACTAGTTGGAGATCTATCTCCCTGCTTCATCCAGTGGCAGCAAAAGAACAAACATGTGTTACTATCTTCTTATTTGCAAGAAAGGCCATCTATTCTAACCTTCTTCAACACACCATGAATCTCATTCTATGTACATTGCAACTGTCATATCCATAAAGAAACACATAAATAAAAAATTAATTATACTGTCACTTTGTCATGTCCACAAAAAATAAATAAATAAAAATTATTGTGTCAAAAATAATTATAATAAAATAATTATAACAATTATAATTATCATTAATTCATTCATTTTAAACCAATGAGAATCAACCCCACTTTTCTCCTCTACAGACACAAACATGTGGCATTCTCACTTTCAGACAAGTAGGTCACATGGACAGGTCATTAACACATGCATCAACAAAAATTTCATCATCTTTTCCTTTTTCAGGCCATAAAAGTAAAATTTAACTTTTAGCACTCAACAAAAATTTGAGATAAGAAAACCCCAGGCACTTCTTGTATTTTCCAATTAAATTATCTGGACACTCATTACACACATCTATAAAAAAAAAAACATACGAGAAAGACTGTATATACTTTAGCTTATCATTCTAGCAGATTCCAATCCATATTTGATCTACATTTGACCCCAAAATCGCCAACACCACATAATAACCAGGTAATAAATAATGCTCATTTTGTTTCTCATTTTTACAAGTATCTTTTTCATATATAAATGTTAGGGACTTTATAATTATTTACTCAGAGTTATAACTCGACTACACAATCTAGCTACTTTAGTTGCCTTGAGACAAAGAAAGTTAGCAAAATAGATGTTGACAAGGCTCTTTTGTGAAAAGCTTCTGGTGGTTGTCTCAAAATTCCTCAGATATCTTTGTTTGAAGTCAAATGTCATCCATTTCATGATGTGAAAATGGCAATATATCAATCTGTCACATTCCAGAGTTTTATCTGCAAGCTTGAATCTTCTTGTTAAGCAAGGAGACTAGCTCTGTCTGGGCTATAACAACTTGTCCTATATCTCATGATTTTACAGCTTTGTCTACTTTAGATTTGACCATCATCTCTGCCACTAATCTATCCAGACTGAGTTGATAATCATAATTGACAAGGTCACCTAATACTACTTTTTAAATTGTTCCACTACAGACCCCATCAATTAACACATTAGTCAGTATTAGCTGTTGATGAAAATTCTCCATATTCAAAAAGTAATTTTCAGTCCTAAAAAAGAACAAGATGAGATATCCTTAAATATGAACAGTGGAACAAGAACAATCTACACTAATTTATTAAATAGTGTTCTATTTTTAATTCCCCAAATGTTACCCCAATTGACAAACACCTGAAGAAGGCCACAGGTTTGATTTGTTTTACAGCATATCAACCTCAATGGGTTATTTAATGCCAACAAGGTTTTTGTTGCTGGTAATATTTTTTTTTTCCAAAAATGTACTGCTGGTAATATTTTTTCCTTTAAATATTTATTTTACACTTTCATAGTGTTTTGACCCCAGTTTGGGGTTAACTATTTGCCCATAACTGGTACCCTAACAGGTGCTACCACCCCAGGTCAAAGTGAACCTGGGAACACCAGCAATTAAAAGGTGGTTCCATGCTCCTCAAAATCTGATCAAAGGCCTTGCTGCTGGATGTAGTTTATCGTCATACCCAGGACAGGAAGGCCACAGGTCAGAACATCTGAAATATAAATGATGATAACTCCTCATCCCAGAAATTCTGACAGAAAGGAATTTTCAGTTTTCTGCCATTCTAGGTTTAACTGGATGATTCTATAGTCGGAATAAACTACATTATGAAAAGTTGCACGACCTAAGAGTCCAAGGACGATTTGACTAATTAAAACTCAATCATTAAGGTAGCTAGAATGCTGCATTAAAGCAAAGCTGTCCCAACTGATCAACTCAAGTTTTAGCAACTCCCTTTTTTATATCCGAAAGACTAACTACCCATCCTATTACCACCTCAGTGTACATGAGGATCAAAGAGAGCATTCCAATCACATGCTAAAACTACTGATTTCAACAATATCAAATTGAGATTGACCCCCACAAAAAAATATCAGCCAGCACCCTGCTGTTACCTTGCTTCATTTATTCAATCTTCCTTGGATTCTCAGTTTTTACTATTAAATATTTTGTCTTCAGAATCTTCATTAGATTCACTGTATTCTTTTCCTTTCACCTCACTAGTGGTACTTATAATTTCATTTCTTCTTTTATACTTCCATACACATAATTATAACATTCATCTGAAGACTCTTTGTTTATCAGCTAAGACATCTTAGCTCTTCTTATTTCACCTTTTTTTTAAAATGGGGCACTGACAAAATGTTTTCACAGTTGAAGCTAAACACAAATGTTTCACACAATCTCAAATGTTTACCTAAGTGCACAGATGCTGCAATAATTCTATGCAAAAGTGGTAATCTATATGTAAATAATCCTATTATTGCTGATGGGTTATACAATTCACTAATATAGTATAGGCTGAAATGTACTTTACTTTAGTGTAGTTAAAAAAATAACAAGGCTTCAAGGTTAAATTTTCTATTCTATTAGGTAAATGGTAATAACTTAGTTACAAAAATGGATTTTATAAATTCAAAAACTAATAGTCATTTAAATGTGAATACTCAACTGACAATCTACAACTGCTCAATGACTTGAATGATTTAAAATTTTAAAAAACTAAAAACAAAGCACTAATTCTTTCCAGTGAAAGTTTAATATTTCTTAGAAGTGAATTTACCTGTTCTGAAATGAGAATTTGACCTTCACAGGAAAGTGGTACTTCCAAACCTTGAGTGCTTCTTATGGCCTAGAGAAACAAAACAAGAGACAATAACTTCAGCAACAGTATCATTATGTTTTTGTTTTCAAAGAAGGTGGGATTATTTTTAATTTTTGAATAAAGAATTAGTTCCTTTTCTATTTCAGATATGAATTTCCAAGATCAATATGCACAAAGGACTGATAACATGTTCAAGAGAATGGTAATATTTTAAAGTTATTCAGTTTAATAACAGAGGAGGAATTGACACTGTGATTTAATTACCTGAAAAGATTAGTCATGTTTTAAAAATTTAAAAATAAAACTAGTACAGTGGAACCTCAGTTCACAAATTTAATTCGTTCCTGAAGGCCGTTCATAACCAGAAATGTTCGTAAACTGAAACTATTTTTCCAATAGGAATCAATGTAGAGAAAAAGTCACAGTACAATAAAAATGGCAAAGAAAAGCATGGCACAACACACAAATGTATGCAACATGGCAGTCAACTCAAGAAATGATTCCATTCAGGTTAACTCAGTTCAGCAATGTTGTTCGTGAATCAAAATTTTGTTTGATGCATTTTCATCTCAAATTTCTATTCAAAAACTGATTTGTGAGACATGTGAGACATTCAAGAACCAAGGTTGCTCTGTATTAAAAGTAAGTAACAAATAAATTGTCATACCGTAATAATTTTCCCTTTTTTACCAATTGTAATTCCTGAATTTCTAAATCCTGAAGAAACAGCAACAGAATGCTGAAAAAAAGAAAAAATTGTAAATGTTTACTATGTAAATTTTTGAGACAAGCTGTTGTTGCTAATATATGAAGTCTGTATTCAGTCATTTAATATTTAAAAAATAGCCTACCCAGGGCAATGACATTTAGTCTTTTTGATAGTACTCCCTTTAGAACCATATATATTTATTCTAGTGTCCACTTTCCAAGATAGTATACAAATTTTCCTCTTTTATAATTCCCCACAGCGATCTTCATTATGTTCTCCTTAATCTCATTCACAGGCTGAAATCTCACTTTCAATGGTAATAACCAGAAAATGCTGAGAATCAAATTTGGATTCTAAAGGGAGCTGACAAACATGGGTAATGCAATGTTTTACAAAAAATCTCTATACAAGATTTCTTGACCCAGTTCCTTACTATGTAATTATCTCTCTTGTAAATATCTCTCTAACTTTTCAACACACCTTATAAGGTGTGCTAAAAAGTTATTGGCTAAATACAATTCCAAAAATCATTATTTCAATGGCCATAGATAAGAATCATTTTTGGAAAGGTTAAAGAAACCTGAGAAACAATATACTAGAGTTATTTCCTTTGCTAGGTGGCAGTGTTTTCTTAGGACAATGGCAAATGCTTCCAAGATATTTATGAAGCTGTGAGGTGAAAAAAATAACTTTGTGGAAGAAATGCAACCAGCAGAAAAGTTAGTGGGAGAGTTGGTTTAGATGCCAGCCACCCATCCATGCAGTAGGGTATATTGGGTTTCATGTCACCAGTAGAAATCATGTTTGAAGACTCATAAGTGAAAATAGTAAAGACTGAAAATCTGTCATCATTTTGAAAAGTATAGATGAATTATATATAAGCTGATTATTGTTAATGCATTCATTAAATAATTATTATTGTGTTTATTTGTGATCTCTTTCTGATTTACTCTACATCAAAACCTGTCCGCCAGATGTGAACACTAAGATAGCAAAAATAAAAAAAGTTGCCTTCTGTGCAGGAGCTCTGAGCATCACATCTGGCTCACAAAACAGCCCACACTAAATAAATAAGATATAAAAAGAGCAAATTACAGACATTGTCACTAAAGCAAAAATCATAAAAAAAGCTGAGTCCTGATCCACTACATCTACTTTTAAGAATGCCACTCACAACACTGTAAGCAGTCACAACAAGCAAGCTGTCAATGTAACCACGTATGACCTCAGTCAATCAACCTAATACTCACATCAACTTCAGACCCTACCAACTCTCCCCTTCCTCCAAGTCATTTCCCCCACTCACAAAGAAACATTCCACATTGATCATTTGTATCTGCAATACAAAAATTTTTATCTGTGGTACTTGTTGTTTTGTTTGTTCTCTTATGCTTCCATATGTGCACTTATAACACAGATAAGTTAATATAGGTCAATAGTGTAAGTAAAGATTGTATAAAAGATTTTGGTTATGATCTTTTAAATGGAATCTCACAATTTTCACATTTGTATTTTTTTTTAATTTTCTTGGCATTTTAAATGTGTGCTGTGAATAAAATCATTTTTTGTATCTCACCCTAAGCAAGGTAATAATGTCAGTAGAATGTGGGATGTTACTGGGAGTGGAAGAGAATGAGAAGACTTTAGTGAGGAGAAGGACAATAAAGAAACTGGATTCAGAAAGACAGAAAATAGCAATTAATGTTCCATTTAAGTTTTTGAAGATTGCAGGCGGCAGGAAAGCAAGAAATCCAAAGAGTGTTCTACAAATGAGAAGTGCAAGAAAAGGAACTATTAGAATAGAACAGCTGGTCGCATCAAGCTAGTTCAAGAGTAAAACAGTGAGACCTACTTGCCAATGTAGTAGTTAAATTCCACATTAACTTAAATTAAATTCATACAATCGAAGCACTAAGGAGCAAAGCTCATCAGAACAATTGCCAGAAAAATATTTGTAGAAAAGACAGCAGGAAGCCATATCACATCAGTGAAAAACTGACTGAAGTCAAGATGCCAGGTCTGGATCAATTACATTACAGACACTTCTTTGAATTTTGTCAAGAAACTCGAGATATACAGAATGAGCACCAGACCAGATATGGCATCAGTATTCAATGCATGAACAAAAGGTAGACTTATAAACATGCAAAATGGATTCTGACAAAAAAAAAAAAAAAACTTACCTGGCACAACCCAGTAAGCCAACTTTCCTAGCAGTAGACCTGATCCAATATAATCACTCCACTTTGCCTTTTTGGTGGAGTTTATGACTTGATGCAGAAATTGATCACATATACTGCATACAGAACTGTACACTGGGTGGTTGCAGGATGCATTATATTGTATGACAGCCAAAAGCTCATAACAATCAAGTGGATGAGAGAACACTTAACAACAAATAAGACACTGCAAGCCATTGGTAGAAAAATCATTAAGCAGATAATGTGACAGCCTTTGTTTTATCTTGTCAACACTTGCACACTTTTAAAAAAAAAACAGAAGAAACTTCACCTTCCATGACCAGTAATTGTCATGCAACAGATTCAGCATAAAAAGGGCCTCAAAACAGATGACTCACGACAAGATGTCTAGGATTACAATTGTACACATCAAACTTCTTATACCCTGAGGTTTTTCTGAGTAGGTTACCTGCGAATCTGTGGTAAATGAGAGTTTGGATGAAGAAGGATGAGTTCTTATGCTGAATGGGTCAATTGTAAGAATGAATTGGTTGTGAATCTGATTAGCTAGGTTGGTGACAACCGGCCTTTCCCATCTTCCTCTACAGCCTTGTGCCACAAACATGTATTTTCATTTTAAATAAAGACTAGGATCAAAGTGTAGTATCTGTTCCAGCAACAGCTCCAGCCAGCCCACAGCTCTAGCCAGCAGCAGAAGCAACTCCAGCCAGCAATCAGCTGCCGTTCCAGCCAGCCATCATTGACATGCAATAAACTGTCCTTTTCAGGACAACACTTTTCAATGACTATAACACTGTCCTTCTCAGGACAATACTCTACATGAACATGTAAAGATTTTTTTGCCTAGTGAACTGTAACCTTATTTTTATCAATGTATTTTCTTTGACGAAAATAAACTTGGCAATAATTTTTTTTTACTAAAGTCTTCGCTTTATTGTTGCCTTCCATCATTCAATATCTGTTTGCAGGCCAATGTATCATGCATAACACCTTCATGAAAAAAGCAGTGGAAAAGATAAAATATATAAATAAAAACATATGAAAGTGACTGCAGAGATAATTTAAAGACTTTGTTGCTTGCAAATGGTTAATAAAACATTTCCATTATTAAGAAGCAATCATGCTTACCAGATTTTGAGCATCTTGCAATTCTTGACACTGGACATGCATAACAAACGGTTCAAATTTGAACACTGCTTCTCCAGCTATGTCCATCAATGCATCTTTCTAGAAACAAAAACAAAGAAAAATACAACTGACATAAAATAACACATCATTCTTTGTGAAAAGAAAGTAAATCCTTTTTGCTTGTAAAGCTGTAGGGTTATGATGAAAGAAAAATAAGCTTAGTGGTTAACTCAAAAAGAATGAATAAACCATGATTGAATTCCAGGCAAAGACACTTGAATTTGTACTTGGTTCAGTTAGTCAGTTAAATGCCATACATGAAACACACTTGGGTGATCACATCTCTTTTGATTCATGATTGACTAAGTGCTACAGTAGGTTGCTGTTTCTTTTTGCGGTAGACTAGGACCCAGTCTGTCCTGCTATTCAGCCCATAGATGGAATGAGGGAGAAGTTAGAAATCAATTAGACCACCACTTAAATTTGTACTAAATCACTTAGAAGCTTAATCCAACTCTCTTTTTAATCTGTCCCATCACCAGTCATCTTATTACTAGTAGCCGACAATAAGAATAGAGTATAAATGAATACACGGGTTATTTACTCTCTCATAAGTATCTTGCATGTCCAAGTAGGATAAAGCAAAAGAGCTGTTAGATTTATTATCAGCCTTGACAGTATGAGCAGTATAGAGGCATTATAAAATTTTATAGACGAGCTATCTAGAATGCTTTTCAGTCATCAGCAGAAGTCAGGTTAGATTCCATCCAATTTAATTCATCAACAGTATCTAAAATGATCTCCACGTTAAAATGAGGCATTAAGATTGATTTGTTGCTAAAATAATACAATCCCTTGATGTTGTTGAGCAAACTGGTTGTAGGAGCATCAAATGAGAGATGAGGATGACTCAGATATTCCAAACACCTTTGCACTATGTCAGGATGCTTCATCCTGGTGTCATTGAAAGATTTGAGCCTCCAAAAACATCAGATCCCCTTACCCCAGGTGACCATTCTGGAGTAATGTCCTCCCACCTAGCTTCCTGGCCTTTGAAATTAATTTGTGAATCTTGGGTTGAACCATTTACTGATTTGATCCTTTTTGGTTTTCAGTCAATGAAAATTTGTTTTAGTTTCTGCAGTCTCTGATTACCTATTTAATATCATTTTCCTTGCCATTTTTTTACGAGTATATCATTAAATCTTGTTATATATTTGGGTTTTTGCTATTTCAATATTCCATATTCTCATTGACAAAATAATACCATTACAAGCTGTTGCTGAGTACTATGGTACCCATAGACAAGCATTAAGGTATCACTTTCTGTTGTTGTACACCTATTTTTTCTTTAAGCCATGTCCCTTCAGATTTCTGTTTTCTATTATCTGTGATTTATCATGCATTCTTAGGAAATATATTTTGGTCATTTCCTGTTGCCTTCTCCACAGTTTAGAATCCAGGAGTTTTTCTTTTCTTAGAGAGTTTGCCATCCAAGGCTAGATAATCCAGTATTTAACAACTGGAAGAGAAGAGACGGATTCATGCCTGTCTCAAGCATGAAAGTGAATGCAACATACAAACTCTGAAGGGGAATTCAGCTCACAGTTTTCACTGTGTTAATATCCATTACACTATGTACATAACTTGTACCCTTATACCAATGTGAGAATAATCAGTGTCTCAATGGATCAAATAGACCTCAATGAAATTGCAAGTGCAGGAATTATCTAGAGCAGTGTTTCTCAAAATCCATTACACACAATTGGATAATGAGAACGATTTCTAGGATGCAATAAAATTTATTTTATTTCATTAAATTTTTGCTTTATGTTGAAAAAATAAAATTTTCATTTTATTTATTGATTCTTTTCCAGATGATACATTAGAGTTTAAAGATTTTTTAGTATTGGTAAAAAATTGGATTAACCAAAATGAATGATTTTACAGAATTACCTGAAGATGGCACTTGAAAAAAATTATTTAGAAAAAGCTAATAACGAAACTACTTAATCTCAAAACTTACAGTGAATGCTATTTTTGGTAAAATTCCTATTTATGCAAAGCAGCTATTGCATGTTTTATATAATTTACCTAATAAATATTTTTTATAAATATAATATAAATTATAATAAATATAATACCTAGTAAATATTTTATCCAATAAAAACGTGCATACTGTTGACATTTTTCATCCAGTTAGAGACTGAATAAATTATTCTCAATAAAATGAAGTCTTTACCTAAATCAGTTTGAGCAATAAAATTATTATGAAAAGCCGAAATCAATTCCCATAAACCAGAAATTGATTGGTTTTCTTTGGTGATCACACTGCATGTCTCATTCTATCAATTACTCACATTTCTCATCTGCTACAGCTTTGAGTCTTATGGAAAGCTGAAAGGCTGACTAAAAGCTGTGAAATCTTGCAAACATTAATTTCAACTCTTCTTATTAATAACTGCATTATTTCTTTCCAGGTAAACCGACATCTGACTGTTCAAAGAATTTAAATGTAACTAGTAGTGACTTCACTTGAAAATGGACAAAATTTGGTATTGTGGGGTTATTAAATATGTGCAGAAAAAGGGTTTGGCCCACAAGGACATTCATGCTGCATTAGGGGATAACGCTACAGCTTTATCAACAGTGAAAAAATGGGCAGTTGAAATTAGGTGTGGAAGGGAGACTTTTAAAGATGACCCAAATGCTACCACAGAGGAAAACATTGATCATGTTCACCACATGGTGATGAATGACAGCTGACTGATTATAAATCAAATAGCCAGTGCTATTAGCATACCCCATGAGAGAGTTGAGAATATTCTGCATAATGAACTTGGCATGATAAAGGTTTCTGCTTGGTGAGTGCCACATCTGACACCTGATCAAAAGGGCACCAGGCTGATCACATTGTTTAAGGCAGATCCAACTAGTCTCCTTGAACATTTCCTAACCCAAGATGTGTGTTAGATTCATTACTTTGAGCCAGAGACAATACATGCAATGGAAACACCCCTCCTTAACTGCTACAAAGAAGGTCAAGGTCATTTTATCTGCAAGTATGGTGATAGCCAATTTTTGGGGAATGCAAAAGGCATTGTGTTTATTGATTATCTCCAAAAGGGCCACACCATCAATGAAGAGTACTATGCCAACTAACTGAGGCAGTTACAAATGGCTATCAAGACAAAATCCACAGGAAAACTGATGAAAGGAGTTTTGTTTCATCAAGACAATGCTTCAGCACACATCCTTGGTTTCAATGACTGCTGTGCATGACTGTAGCTTTGAACTGGTTCATAACCCTCACTATTCTCCTGATTAAGTCACATCTGATTATCATCTGTTCCCCAACATAAAAAAAACACTTGGCTAAGAACCAGTATTATAGTGATGATTTCATATCTGCTGTTGACTTTTTTTACCAACAGGATGAAAGCTTCTTCACCATTGGGATTCATGCACTCCAACACCGATAGAAGAAGCATGTGGACCGCAAGGGGGCTATGTTGAAAAATAAATCTCATTTAATCACATTCCATGAGAGTGTCTTGGTCAGCCCATGAACTTTTCAGCCAACACTCATATATGCATACACACGCATAATACTAAGGAAAATTGACTCATACACACTATACACTGACTGTATACATTATTTGTAGCTCATTGTAATTCAATTTTTCACACTTTATTAATTAAAATTAGTCTAAACCTAAGAATGTAAAAGCCAGACTTTAATCCCCATTTAATTAAGTTTGTCAAAAATAAATTTGTTCTTTTAATTACACAAATTTTATCCTCCAATTTCTATTCAAAGTAAATATTTTAGATATGGATTGTTTCCAAAACATAAAAAAATTCTATTAAATAATTGAGTGAACTGAACACATATATTTATAACAGCTATGGCATTCTTTTAAGTGGGGAAGGGCTACCTTGCCTTGAAAGATCATCACTCAGAAACCTGGTCCTTCCCTTGAGTTGAACATTTATTACTGACACTGGCAGAAAAAGAGGTGAACTATCTCAGTTACCAAAGCAATAGCCTGTTGAAATGATCAAAAACTGTTTGTAAGCAAAAATAAATGTTTTTTTTCTTTTTACCATTTCTTCAAGACTTGTCTGGGTGTGGGTAGTAAACAGCCATTTGCATCCTTTTTTCTTCACACCATTCTCCTCTTCCTGAAAAGGTATTTTTGTCCAATCAGATTTACAAAGAAGATACTTTTGAGTTACTAATTTGGATAAGACATCAAAAATATTTAAATGTAACAAGACATACATTTACAAGAGATACCTTCGAGTTTGTCATTATAATTCATATGGAACATCATTTGTAAAACTGAAATCTCAGTTAAAATTGGAAAAGATAGAGTAATGAAAATCAGTTAAAATTGGAAAAAATAGAGTAATGGTTTCCAGTTAGAAATTTAGAGTTGTCCTTCTCTCTGACTAACATCAAGCAAAACAGAAAATAATCAAAAAATTAAAGCAATAAATTAAACTCAAAAGTATCATTTCTCTAGTTTTAATTAATTTCTTTTTTTATACTTCTAATGTAATATAAAAAAAATGAAATTATTTATTCTACTAAGTTTAATAAAAACATACAGAATAAAACATTATATTCTTAAACTATTGATTCTATAAGGCTAAATATAATTTCAAACATAAATACCAATTTCTTCATTATTGCACTGCTGATGTTCTGTATTTCTTGCATTTTTGTTTTTAATTTTCGCATATTTTTAAAGTCAGGTGTGAAATTATAGTTTCTGTTTTTGACCTATGACATCACACTCACAAGATACCATTGCATAAATAAACATTATTTTCATTATGTTTTAAGTAAAAAGTAAGCATTACTTTTATAAAATCAAGTTAATTTAATTAATCCTTAAATTTACTGACTTCGAAACACATCTCTAGGACAAATATTGGATGTTTAAATAAATTTGCATTTTTTGCCTATAATGATGGTGTGATGAGTGAATATATTCCAATGTTTTAAAAATGCATAAAAACTTTATTTACATGCCAAAATAAATTTTTCTTTTAATACGGATTACTTTAGTTAGCCTATCTTTTTTCAAATGAAACCAAAATTTAAACTTAAAGATCACTTATCAAGAAGAATGGGTTTTCAGAATTTTTTTTTTTAAGAAGTCCGTGGCGATATCTAGTGGATACCAATGTCAACATGGAGGACTGGGCAATTTTTGTTTTTAGCCCATATATGTGTATGTGCAATCTATGGAATGGTTCAAAAGTCTTGTCACCCCATACCAAAATTATAAGTACCTCCATGAGATCGCTAAAAAAGAGCATAGCATGACAAAAAAGATGCCAAACTTGACAAAAACAAAACTTTATTGTCTAAATGTTTATGTTATTACTAAGAGGAAAGATCAAAGTATTTTTGGGGTATTTTTTTACATTTTTTAATCATTCCTAGCATGTCCAAAATTTTCGTTAAAAATCTTGTTTTTTTAGAGTCAGCAAAATTGATAGATAATCAATCATGTCAACTATTTTTTCCATTTTATAAAAAAAAATGAAAATCTCAGTTGGAAATTCTTTTAAAAATCAATTACAATTTTTTCAAAACTCATTTTAAGAAAATCAGAAATTATAATGTTTATTTAAAATATTTTGAAACAAGCATTACTTAGTTTCTGTGCCAAAAAGATGTAGTTTGAAAATAAAACACAGCAGGTCATAACATTTCGCGTCACTTGACAGGTGATGAATGACAATTTCAAGACGTATTGACAGATTACATGAGGATAATTTATTCTATGGTAGGAGAGCAGTGAAATTATTTAGATTCAAGTGAACAAATTATTTACCTCGTTATTTTTAAGGAAAACTTTCAGCACTCTAATTTTTTTTGTACTTAGCTTTCACCTTAACGTTCATGATGCTTTATGGAAAATACATTATAAAGAAATTAAAAATAAGACTGTTGAGAGTGAGATTAAATTTCATAAAAGAGGTATCTAATAGGTACCTTTCTTATGAAATTTTATCAGAAGTGTACATAAAATACTATAATTTTATGTACATTTACGAAACTGAATGCCGCTTTTAACTAATTTTATAATATTTTAACAACTTAAATGTAAAAATCTATTATAATTAAAGAAATAACAAATAATTGTATTAAAAATTCGTTTTTCATCAAAAAAAATTTTTGCTTCCAGAAAATATTGTCCATATTCATAAAAGCAAATAAAAGCATTTGAAATTAAATAATATCTTTGTTTTATTGAGTTTTGTATGTTACAATCCAGAGCTGATTTTCAGGTGGTGGGGGGTCCAATTAAAAAAAAAATACATGATTTGCTTTCCTCAAAGCGTTGTGCTTTTCACTAATAATCACTAAAAACTGAATCCGACTGAATTTCTAGAGTTTTCATAAAATTAGTTATGGGAGGAGGTTAATAAATATATAAAAAATATATCTTTCCTATGACCTTAAAAAAAGAAAACATATTCATAATAATTTTCATCATTTGTGAATAGTTTCTGAAAGTTTCATTAAGGTACCCATAAAATTATGTAGCGGTGACAAGATTTTCGGACCATCCTGTCATTCAACCAAACTTGTGTCACATTCTGCCGATGTAGAGGTTAGTGGGTTTGCTTTCGAAGTCGCACAACTTGCATTTCTAACCTACGATTTGCATAACTTTTCGTTTGTATCCTTTGGTTTCAATTAATTTCTTCATTGGACTACAAATTTCGACAAGATCCCAAATAGAAAGCTAATTTCTACCATTTACCTCTTTGCACCAGAATACAAAGGAAAATTAACTCTAACGCACAAATTATGAACAATTTATATACACATTCTTCTCTTGTATCATCTCATTGTTAATTTACACTTCCTTAATTAAAAAAGGTGTTGTACTCCAAAGAATTAAAACCGAACTTCAATTTTATTTATTTTTATTTTGACAAAGATTTCATTTCAAGATTCTTTTCAAAACAGTCTTCATCTCATCACGCGCAAATAAAAAATTTGTAATTTTTTTAAGAAGTCCCATCATGATTGAAAAACTTGCTACTTCATTTTTTGATAAATAATCTTTTTTTTTTCTTTTTCTCCTATCAACTAGCCATCGTTAAAAAAATAGATTCTAGCTATTCACGTCACACACACCAACAATGTCTTTTATTTTTTTATAATTCTTTCTGTCCGTATTTCCGAAGCGGGCACATTCCTATTACCACATTTTTTTTCTTTCTTTCCTTCAAATCCATTTAAAAAATCAATGAAGATTAAACTTTTGACAATACAAAGCAAAATAAAAACAAACAACACGCAACATGAGTGAAACACCTAAACACGTCTTCCAAACAAACACATGGGAAGGGCGAGAAAGAACATATTTACATCTTCAAAGATAATGATTCTTCCTGAACACGAACTAGTAGTGAATAGTCTATCACGAGAATTAATATACTGGCATAAATCATGAATCGGCAAATCAATAACTCCTTTACGACTGCAATCAACTTTTGACAAACAATTCTCTTTCTGATTTGCAAACGACTTAGCCATATTTGTTTACGATGAAGAACGACAGAAACTAAGGGAGATCACTCTAGCTGACTCGGAGAAATGGTTTAGATTTTTCAAAACAAATAGCATTTATAAATTATTAGTTTATATTATTATTCTTTGCGTTGGTCGGGCTACTTGTTACTCTACTTTCATATATGAGAATTATGTAACATTGTACTTTGAACCCTACAATTTTATCAAATTTCATACTCGACTCAAGTAGTATGTAAAGAAAAAGCATACGTTCATTTATTTAAAAAAAAAAAAAACATGCATTTCAAAATGTTATCTCCCCATTGAATGTAATTGTAAAGTAAATGGATGAATCTGGGACTTTTCCAATTACTGTGATTACTCCTAATTCCAAAAGAATGTCTTTCATCTCATTTTGAATAGTTGGATTATTTGTTGTTGTTTTTAGTAATGATAATTACATATTTATTAGATAAAAAAAAGTTCAAAAGACTTATCTAATAGACTTCAATTTTTGCAAATATACTGCTGATCAGCATCAGATAAATCTACAGAATGTATTAACAGACATCATATTTTTAATATATTACATTGAACCTTGCTTTTATTAATTGACAATCGTTGCTCTAGTTTTTAGTGTTGATGACTTTGCTTATAAAAATCTGCTTTCATTTAAGCATATTAGACTCTAATTATTTACTGGACTACATGCTTTGTTAGATGTTGATGATATTATGCTATTATTGCTACATATTATATATATATATATATATATATATATATATATATATATATATATAATTTGTATATTCATTTTCTTATGCATATAAAAAGTGCTTTATTTTAAATATTTTAAAAGAGTCTTTCAATGTACATAAAAAATATAATTTTTTTGGTTATTTACCCATTAAGAGACTTTCATATTGTGTAATTGTTCAAGGGAAACAAATGCCCATTTTGAGAATTGCAGTATGTGAAAGATTGTTAATGATAAGTAAATAGTCCCAAAATGTTATTTTTATGTTTATATATATATATATATATATATATATATATATATATAGAGTTAAGTTACGAAGAACTTGGTAAACCGAATGGGTAATTCCAAGGAGGATGAAATCCTGAGAGCTCAATGTGAATACAGAGCTAATATTTAATGAAAAAACAGACCACTTTAAGGTACCATTACAATAATTTATTTCACCAAAATCCTTTTTGAAGGACTCCGGATCATCAGGTAACACTTCCAACAACGAAATGAAAGGAAAAATGGGATTAGAAATTGATGGGTAGTGTAATTTTTGTAATTTAACAGGGAGGGTGATAATTGTAGTTAATGAGACAAGATAGAGTATAGAGAGGGGTTAATTTTGGTGAAATAAATTATTGTAATGGTACCTTAAAATGGTCTGTTTTTTCATTATATATATATATATATATATATATATATATATATATATATATATATATATATATATACATACCAGGGTAAGTCAAAAATTTATCTGCACTTTCTCCATAACATAACTTTAGACAAGAATGTGTGTGTGTGTGTGTGTGTGTGTGTGTGTTTGGCTACCAACTACTATTGCCCTACTGCCTGAGACTATTGTGAGTCCCTGTATTTGTGGGGGAACATGTTTCTTTCATATGTTAGGTGATAAATTGATTTGCATATTTACATAGTAACAAGATCAGTGTAACAGTTCTGATTACTTCATTTTCCAATATTCACCAGAAGGGTGAGGGGATTTTTTTTACCCCAATAGACAAAGCAAAATGATGAATAATATTAAAAATAACAAAATTGTATTACTGAATGTTGGATAAGATCTGATCTAGCATGGACCATCTGGTTTATTTCAGGTCTCATTTTTCTACTGTTGAGTGGTGGTTTACTCATTATTCCACCTAATTTTAACCTGAGCTGGTTGAGTCCTGAGATCAAACCCAGTCAGTTCCCGATGTTATTTCAATTTATTGTAATTAAATGCTTTTCATTTTTTCAACAGGCCATTATGAAAACCAAACCACAGGTTATTTCTGGTATGCTAGTAAATCTAAATTATCTAATTCAATGGCTTATGGCCATCTCAAATTGAAACATCAATTCATTTGATCACTGAATTTCAGCAACATCAAGCCTAGTCAGTACTAGTAACTGCTTGAGAATATCAGGTGCTGTAAGCTTGGATGTGTGGGTGGTGTAATGATAATGGCTTGGAACTGGAAATTGGAGAGCTGAGTTCCAATTCTAGTTGGGTTTGTTATATTCACTTACATGTAGATACTTTTAGGGAAGGTATGAATGAACCTCTTCTCCTCCCTAGCTATGGGTTAATTAGTAGAAATTATTATCTCCAAAAAATTCTTACAATCAAAAAATATACACTGGCTTTAAATCCTGCAAAGGGTTGATAAGCCATAAAAAACAAATCAATCAAATTCAGCTTTTCTCATCAACTTCTCAAGTTAATTCTCATTCAAAACAGAACCAGGTGCAGTAAAATCTACATCAGTAACTCTATTATAAACAAAAACATTACAGTCCCTGTAAGCAAAACAAAATAAAGTTCTGTAACCAAAATGAATGCTCAGTCGTTTTATTGTTGCTTTTTAGTAGTACTCTCTGCTTTAGATTTATGTTTAAAAATAAGTTATTTACACTATTTACATCATTTGGACTGTTGTCCTCCTCTTTATTGCCATATTCATGATGTTTCAACTGTTGTACGCTTTAGCCTTCTTCAGGTGATATACATTAGAATTTCCATGTGTCATACCTTTTTTGAGATATCTCAGTTTCAGTAAATTTCCCTTGCTAAACTCAACACTCCAAGTTTTTGTTCCCTCTACAATCATGATACATTTGTTGCTGATATATTTTACTACAATTGTCAATGATGGCCTATGTCCTGGTTTATCATGACATGAAAAAATAACTCATCCACTTCCTCCCTCTGAGCTTACTTTTCTATTTAGCGTACATCTGACATTTAATTGGTTAATCAAGACATACCCACAAGTCTATTTTTAATTCTGACCTTATGTTCTCCCGCCCACTGTAACTTTCGGAAAAGAGGTAACACTTGTGTTATATTTTCGTAAAAAAAAGAATAAAAAAAGGAAACTAGCTTTCTTGTCCACGTGACTTTTCACACGTTCCCATTCCTCTTTAAAAGCTGTGTTCTTCTTCCTTTTCATTCTAAATTCTTTCCTTTGTTGATTACTGACTGCTGTGAATTAAGTTCAGTAAAGCCTTAAGAAAAGGTTATTCTATCCTAGTTTTCTTCTCTGTACTACGTAACAACTTGGTTTTAAATTTTCTTAGAAATCATTTAATCACCAGTTATTTCCCAACACCTGAAGAAGTACAATCAAAGTAATGAAATATGAAAGCTTTTGTGTAGCAATTTCAACATGTTTTTATTATCTCTTATAATAATATTTATATATATGTATGTGTGTGTGTATGCATGTATGTTGGTGATAATGAGATAAAGTGGAAAAGCTGTTTAGACGTTTCACCTTTTTATAGTAGCATGAAACTTAAATAGCGATCTGAACTTTGTCTCTTTCCGAGTTGTGACACTATTTACTCTGGCTTGGTAATTTAGATATTGAGCACTGTTGTCTGTCTTTTGGTCTTTGTTTTCTTAGTTGTCTTTTTCTTCTATTGATTGTTTTTTCTTTGGTTGCCTAGTAGTTTTACCATTAATTTGTTTTTTTTCTGTGTGTGTATATATATATATATATATATATATATATATATACACTTATACTACTGATAAATATATATTTATTTCTCAGTTTAGTAAGATGCATATTTATTATTAGTATAAATTTCAGCTGTTATTTTACATCAAGTACTGTTTTATTACCACCAACATTCACTATGTATTATTTTATATCTATTTTAGAAGAAAGAAGTATAACAAAGTGTAAAAACTTTTACGTTTTGTCCTTTAGAACTTCATCAGACTCCTAAAGGACGGAACAAGACACAAAAACTTTTCCACTTTGTCATACTGATATCTCCTAAAATTGTTCTTGATATATAAAAAATTTATATATCATTATCCTAAATAAATATATATTTGTGCATGTGCACACAAAAATGTGCTACTTAAGAATTTGTAGAATGTGATGAAAAAAAAAAATAAAGTTGTATATACTAAAACTTAGTTTTCAAAATTTCTTGTTTACACACTACATAGCAGACTAGCAGCAAAATCTGAATATTTAGTTGACATGCTGTTAAAATTTCCTAACTTTTTAGAATAACAACTCCCTCACACATCTCTAACATTTGACTGTACAAACCCCAAGCAGTTAGTGAAGTATAATTTTTCTGTGAAGGAAAATAGTGTCTCCCATTTCAGATATCATCATTTTGACACCAACAGCTGTATTTAGAAGAATTCAAGTTAAAAATTTCCAAAAAGTGATGATTTAGGGAAAAATCTGTAATGTGCATCTATATGTGAACACATCCAATCGATAGCAATGAACATTAGTCTTACTATCAGAGCTTTTACAGCTGATCTCTTCTGTGGCCTAGCTCTAACAGCTCAAGGAAAAAAAAACTAGCTTGGAACTTTCAATACCTCAAAAACCAAGTCAATATCATTTCATCAATCAGACCCTGAGTTTTCTCCAGTTTTAATGAGGTGGCATACTTTGAACATCTATTGAGTCTCAAGTTCAAATGAAAACTCAAGTAGAAATCATATATGCTGGAAAAATGGTTAACTCATTTTATCACTTCATGAAGTACCAGACTCCCATCATGCCTTAGCTTAACAAGAGTCAGAGATATATATATATATATATATATATATATGTGTGTGTGTGGAGCATTTCTGCCATATCTGAATGGGAACTGCTTAATCCTCACTTCTCAACCTTGACAGAGTTCAGAATTGTTTATGCAGGACTTATTCTGCACTCTACAACTGCTTTCCCCACAGATGTAATGTCACAATGCTATTGCTATTTCCATGGCAGATGTTCAAATGAACTCA